ATATATAATATATATATATATATATATACATATATATAAAGAAGAGGGGATAATAAAGGAATAGACTATATTATAATTTTTGTTTACGGAACCACCAATAGACAGCAATAAATAAGAAGAAAGAAGAAGAAGAAAAAGAGAAGAAAGAAGACCAGAAAAAAAAAGAATTATCCTCTAGATTATTTTTTATATTCATACCGAATAGACCAGCAGCAGCAGCAACAAAAGAAAAAAATACAGAAAGAATATCTAATGCTATTTCTGTCTTAAGGAAAGAATTACGTGTTGATGCTAAATGTAACTCCATTAGTTGTAGTGCATCATCTAATGCTTCTTCTGTTCTTATTATTACCTGCAAATACATATACATAAACCCTATATTAGGGTTTAGGGTTTAGGGTTTAGGGTTTAGGGTTTAGGGTTTAGGGTTTTTGGTGTTGATGCTAAATGTAACTCCATTAGTTGCAGTGCATCGTCTAGTGCTTCTTCTGTGTTTATTATTACCTGAGAAAATATACACACAAACCCTAAATTAGGGTTTAGGGTTTAGGGTTTAGGGTTTTAGGGTTTTAGGGTTTTAGGGTTTTGATAATAAAAATAAAACTGTATGAATAGTAATGAATAAATAATAACTTCTTCCCTCCTTAATATAACCTTAAAAATGACATAGAACCCTCTCTGTAAACCCTAAATAAGTGTTTAGGGTTTATAAGGGTTTATAAGGGTTTATGAGGGTTTATGAGGGTTTTTTGAGGGTTTATGAGGGTTTATGAGGGTTTATGAGGGTTTAGGGTTACCTGATAAATAGCCTCAACCTCTTGTTCATAACATTCTAATAATATTTCTGCATCCTGTGCATGATGATGTTTAGGGTTTAGGGTTTGTATAAATGATAAACTAATCTCTAATTTAATTAGATCTTCTTCCTTATTTAATAATTCCCTTATTGCTCTTTGTACTCCTTTTGTTGTCTCCTTTATTATATTTAATTGTCTTTTTAGTTCGCATAATTGACGAAGACGTAGAGTACTACTTGGTTCCTCATTTATATATAATAATAATAAATCTGCTCGTCCTTTTAGGGGGGACAGTTGTGCTAATAACGATTCACATGCCTATATATATATAAATATTTATTTATTTATTTATTTATTTATTTATTTATTTATTTATTTATATTAAGGGAACAAATAAGAAAGGGAACACACAGAAAAAACACACACAAAAATATCTTATTTTATGTACTTTTCTCTTTAGGTCATAAAAAAACCCTAAACCCTAATTAACCCTAATAAACCCTAATAAACCCTAATAAACCCTAATAAACCCTAATACTTACATGAACAAGAAGTACCTCAAGTGCAGCAAACTCTGGTGGTCCTGATCTCTTAAATTCATGAAGATTAACTAATGTAGATATTAATGATTCATAATGATGGGCACAACGGCCTCCCTCCTACATATATATATATATATATACACACATAAACCCTAAACCCTAAACCCTAAACCCTAAACCCTAAACCCTAAACCCTAAACCCTAAACCCTAAACCCCTCATATACCCTAAACCCTAAACCCATGCCAACTCTGTAATCGCTAAACCCACACAAACCCTAAATGCTAAACCCGAGATCGTAAAAACCCTAAACCCTCCCCAAAACCCTAAACCCTAAACCCTAAACCCTAAACCCTAAACCCTCCCTCCGTCCCTCCCTTCCCTTTTCTGAATGGATTGTGTAGGGTTTATAAGAAAAAAAAAAAGGGAAAGACTTACATAATCAATATGATGAGTATTAGGGTCTGATAGATGAGAGAGAGAAAGAGTGTTTGTTTTATATAATTTATAATTAGGGTTTAGGGTTTGCATAATATTACTATTATAATTATAATTATAATAATAATGATGATGATGATGATGATGATTAGGGTTTATAAATAAATTATTATAATTAATATTATTATTAATTATATTATTATTATTATTATTATTATTATAATTATAATAAGAAGGAAGAAGAAATATTTTATTATATAATATAATAGATCTAACTGTAGGTAAATTAACTAATATACAGTGTCTCCTTACCTCAATACTTGGTCTCTTATCTGCAGAAGGAGACACTACCTGTCTTAGGTCTCTTAATTTAAGTGTACCTGTCTCCTCTTCTTCTTCTTCTTCTTCTTCTTCTTCTTCTTCTTCCTCTTCTTCTTCCTCTTCTTCTTGCTGTTGTTCTTGTTCTTGGTCTTCTTGCTGTTGTTGTTCTTGGTATTCTTCTTCCCCCTTATCCTCGTCCCTTTCTTCCTTCTCTCCTTCTTTTTCTCTTTCTTTATTTATATTATTTATTATATTTATATTATTATTATTAATTAATTTATTTATTTTTTTTTTTTTTTCTTCTTATTATGCATATGTACTATACGTAATAATTCAGGTGTCTGTACATGTCTCCTTCTATATACACCATTACTTATTTCTACTATTGTATAACCACGACGTAAAAAGGAGACACCTAATTTATTATTATTTTCTTCTTCTTCCTCTCCTCCTCCTCCTCCTCCTCCTCCTCCTCCTCCTCCTCCTCCTTCTCCTTCTTCCCCTCTATTGTCTCCTCCTCTCTCTCCTCTTTCTCCTAATTGCCTATATACACTGTCTCCTAATCTACAACTGTCTCCTCTATATAACCAACTGTCTCCTCCTCTATATAACCAACTGTCTCCTCCCCTGTCTCCTCCCCTGTCTCCTCCCCTGTCTCCTCCTCTGTCTCCTCCTCTGTCTCCTCTATATAGGCAACTGTCTCCTCTATATAAGCAACAGTCTCCTCCCCTGTCTCCTCCTCCCCTGTCTCCTCCTCCCCTGTCTCCTCCTCCCCTGTCTCCTCTATAGGTGTCTCCTTCTCTATAGATATCTCCTCCAAAGGGTCTCCATAGGAAGGAATAATTATTGCTGCTACCGGGCTCGTGCTGCTGCTGCTGCTGCTGCTGCTGCTGCTGCTGCTGCTGCTGCTGCTGCTGCAGTTCGTGTTGGTGTGTACAATGCTCATGCATGCATAATGCATGATGGCTACCACAACCATAACAACAACATCTGCTGCTGCTGCTGCTGCTGCTGCTGCTGCTGCTGCTGCTGCTGCTATTATTATTATTATTATTATTATTATTATTATTATTATTATTAATTTGTCCCCTTATCCATGGAGGAGGTAGATCAGGGTGTCTCCTTAATAGTCTCCTTGCGCATGCAAGAAGGGACTCCCTTAGTCCCTTTTTATTGTCTCTTATTAATAAGGAGGAAGAAGGAGAAGAAAAAGAAGAAAAAGGAGGAAGAGGAGGAGGAGGAGAGGAGGAAGAGGAGGAGGAGGAGGGAGGAAGAGCAGCAGGAGAAGACGAGGAGGAGACACCTAATAACGGTTGCTGCAGTGGGGAGACATTACAGCAGCAGCTGCTGCTGCTGCTACCACCTATACCTACACGCTGCTGCTGCTGCTGCTGCTGCTGCTGCTGCATGCTTTCGCTAGCTGTCTCCTTTGTCTCCTTTAATAATAAAGGAGACAGTCTCTTCTTCTCTTTCTCTCCTCCTGATCCATTATATATATCCTGTGCTGCTGCTGCTGCTGCTGCTGCTGCTGCTGCTGTTGGTTGTGGTGGTACTAAGGGAGTTGCTGCAGCAGAGGATAAAGATGTTGCTGTTCCTGTTGCTGCTGCTGCTGCTGCTGCTGTGTCTGCTGCTGTGTCTGCTGCTGTATCATCTTCTGATGGTGGTATGCCTACAACAACAGAATCCCTAAACCCTACATCTTCTTCACTCTCTGCTGCTGCTGCTGCTGCTGCTGCTGCTGCAGCAGCAGCAGCAGCAGCATCAATTCCTATTCTATCATAGCCATCCTCTGAAGGAGACAATATGCCGGGGGGACTCGAGGAGACCCTCGAGGCCCCACGGCTTGAATGCTCATAGAGGCTGCTGTCCTCTTGCTGCTGCTGCTGCTGTTGCTGCTGCTGCTGCTGCTGCTGCTGTTGCTGATCCTGCTGATCCTCATATGACTGCTCTTCGTAACCCTGCAGGAAGGGACGAGAAATTGATGGGCCGTCTTCCATCACGGCCTAAAGAAACCCTAAACCCTAAACCCTAAACCCTAAACCCTAATTCCTAAACCCCAAGCCCTAGTTGGGCAATAACGACTGATCATAAGGGTTTAGCATCATATGGCTGCTGATGTGGCTAGTCCTGTTGCTGCTGCTGCTGCTGTTGTTGCTTTGGCTAGTCTTGCTGCTGCTGCAGTTGTCAGGGTATAATAAGAGATTTGTGCTGCTGCGGAGCAGCAGCAGCAGCAGCAACAACAACAACAGAAGTGTTATGTGGATATACACCTCAGCAGCAAATAAGAAGAGGCAACAATCTATAAGGAAGAGAAGCATGCAGCTTGCTGCCAGACACAAAGCAGCAGCTGCTGCTGCTGCTGCTGTTACGGGTGTTGCTGTTGCTGTTGCTGTTGCTGCTGCTGCTGTTGCTCCTCCTTCTCTTATTTATCTTCTTATTGTTTAATATATTAATTAATAAATAAGAAAGAAATTTAAATTAATAAAGAAAAGAAAAGAAAAAAGAAAGACAGCACCAGCAAGCCGTGTTACCCTTGATCAGGGGGGCCCCCCCCCCGAACCCTGCTGCTGGGGGGCCCCCCTCTGAGCGGCTCGTGCTGCTGCTGCTGCCGCTGCTGCTGCTGTTGCTGTTGCTGCTGCTGCTCATTGGTGTGTGTGTGTATATATATACTGTCTTCTAATGATGAATTTATATTTATTTTCTTTATATAAATAATATAAATAAATAAATAAAAGAAAAAGCAGCAAATAAATAGCTGAGGTGTATATACACCGCGTATGTTGTTGTTGTTGCTGCTGCTGCTGCCGTTTGTGTGTCTGTGTGTCATAAAAAAGGATCTTCTTACGTCATTTTTCTTCCTTTTCTTTATTTTATTTGTTTATATTTATCATTTATTTATTTATTATTATTATTTATATTTAAATAAGGTATTTGTTGCTATATAATACCAAAAAATACCTACAAAACTCCTTGATGGTCATACAGCTAGCTACTAGCTATTTTTATTTATTATTGAGGTGTATATACACCCCAATAAAAGTAAATATATAATTAATTATATAATTAAATATATATGTATTTATGTATATAGGTAAATAAATATTAATTAATTATATAATTATATATATATAATTATATATAATTATATATAATTATTTATATATATATTAATATATTATTATTGTTATTTGTTTTCCTTATAGATAAACAATAGTATGACGAATAAAAAGGACATTTCTTCTTCTCTTCCTCCCCCTCTTCCTCTCCCTCCTCCTGGTCCTTCTCCTTCTTCTCTTCCTCCTCCTCCTCTTCCTCCTTCTTCTTCTTCTTCTTCTTGTCCTTTTCCTTCTTCTTGTTTATTAGATAATAAATATAATAATATAAATGGTGTATATTGTACTATATTATCCTCTATTAATAATATACCTGGTCTTTTTTCTCTTATTACCTCCCTAGACACCACAAAACCTTTCTTTCCTCTTTTTGTCCTTTTTCCTCCTTATCTTACCCATTATATTATTAATGCATTTACCCTACAAACAATAAACCCTAATCAGCAGCAGCAGCAGCAGCAGCAGCAGCAGCAGCAGCAACAGCAACAGCAGCAGCAAGAGGAACAGCAACAGAAGCAACAAGAGAAGAAGGAAGAGGATGAACAACAATACCAACAACACATACAACAACAACAACAGCAGCAGCAGCAGCAGCAGCACATACAACAGCAGCAGCAGCAGCAGCAGCAGCAGCAGCAGCAGCAGCAAGAGCAACCAGGTGCAGCAATAGAGGAGAGTATAGGTTGTATAATATTATTACGTGTATGGGAGTTAATTGTATATAAAAAAATAATAATAATAAATAATAAATGTATAATTATACGTAATATAGATATATTATTTTATTTATTTATTTATATAAATAAACCTTCTTTTTCTCCTTCCTTATTCCCTCCTGATTATTTAGATCTAGGTATTATTGTTCTTATACCTAATAAATGCATGCAGCAGCAATTACTTACTCATCTACAGCAGTTTATACTGCAGCAGCAGCAGCAGCAGCAGCAGCAGCAGTAGGAGAAACATGGAAGAGAAATCTCCAACAGCAGCAGCAACAGCAGCAGGAGCAGCAGCAGGAGCAGCAGCAGCAGCAGCAGGAGACCGTCTAAAGGTAAAGGAGACAATAGAAGGGACAAGAAGAGCACGTACAGCACCAACAGCATCAGCAGCAGCAACAGCAGCAGCAGCACCAGCAGCAGCAGCACCAGCAGCAGCAGCAGCACGAACTCTATCGATCCGATCTCCTAAGCTGCAGCAACAGCAAGAACACCACGACAATCAACAGCAGCAGCACGAACAGCAGCAGCAACAACAGCAGCAACAGCAACAGCAACAGCAGCAGCAACAGCAGCAACAGCAGCAGCAGCAGCAAGAGGAAGAGGAGACATATTATATAAATGAATTAGATTTATGTATATTTATGAATAAATATTTTGCTGATTGGTTTTGTTGGTCTTTTCCTCATCGTCTTCCTTTCTCTTATAATGCACATATTAATATGTTATATTATCTAGGGGGATGGGCACCTGCTGCTCCTCTTGCTGCTCCTCTTGCTGCTCCTCCTCCTCCTCCTGCTGCTCCTCCTGCTGCTCCTCCTCCTCCTGGTGGTCCTGGTGGTGGGTATGAGGGGTTTGGGTCCTCTTATTACAATATAGGTACGAGGGGAGGGACTGCAGCAGCAGCAGCAGCAGCAGCAGCAGCACAAGAGGGCCCCTCTAGGGGCCCCTCTACTAGGGGCCCCCTAGGGGGGCCTCAAGGAGGGCCCCAATGGGGCCTCCATAGAAGGTATAGAAGTCTACGACAGGTACCACAAGAAGGAGGGAATTTATCTCGTGCCTTTCGTACCCTTGAGGGGATCGGATCCCAAGGTGTGGGGTGGGATCGGGATCGGGATCGATCCCGATCCCAGGGAGCTGGGATCCGATCCCAAGGTGTAGGGAGGAGAGATATGTCTCCTTCTCCTATAAGAGAGGAACGAGACAATAAAGGAGACAATAAAGGAGACAGTTTATTGGTGTCTAACTCCTTGCTGCCTATGCGCTTATTAGTAGGGGCAATGAGGGATTTAGTTGATGAATTTACATGGGGGGCCCCCAGCAGCAGCAGCAGCAGCATCTGCAGCAGGGAATCATCAGGTGTCTCCTCAGCTGTCTCCTTATCTTCTTCCTCTTTTGTATCCAATCCTCCACCTAGCAGCACCAGCAGCAGCAGCAGCAAAAACAGCAGCAAGAGTAGCAGCAGCAAGAGTAGCAGCAGAAGCAAGAGCAGCAGCAGCAGCAGCAGCAGCAGCTTGCCTCCTTTGAGTACCTCCTCAGATACCTCTAGTTATGAGTCTGAGGGGGGCCCCCTT